GAACGTAACAATTGCCGTTTGGATTCCTGCTTAGCCAGAAATGGCAATCACTTTCCGGTGGTTCTGAAATGCTGTAGCGGGAATAAACCCAACAAACTCGAGACTGACCTGGGATGGCATGCGTATAAGAGGTGTATGCATTAAATGGGCTCATGCTGTGTACTTCAAACTTTCACCACCACTAACATCCTTTCATGATCACTCAGCTAGCGCTAAGCCATACCTCACACACTAGCACGGCTTATCACAAGTTGGAAGAGGAGGCGATGGCTGCCTGATTATAATGGACAACTCTTAATATCCAATCAAACATCGCGTAGCCAACATCACCAAACGTCAACAACACAATGACCCTTCAGTGCCATTTTATACAAAAAGGAACCCGTCTGATAGATTGACTTCACACTTGATAAGTCTATTGGCCAACCTAAAGAACTTCTTACCCTCCAAGAACGAATTTCAGTTTCTCGAATCTTGTATCGCGCCATGGCAGACAGCGCTCCCAAAGAAGCCGAGCCGGAGCGGCGCGAGGCTCTTGACATCCTCGACGCCAAAGCCTCTCAGTTGGTGAATTTAATCAAGAAGAGCAAGCACTTCATTGCCTTTACCGGTGCAGGTATCTCTACCTCTGCAGGTGAGCTTTATCCTCCATTGATATGAGATGCAAGTCGCGCGATTCGGCTGGGCCGCCCTAGTCGTTTGGTCTACATAATCAAAAAGAATTCAGGGCTAGACAATGGTATCTTAGGAATTCCCGACTTCCGCGGACCTGAAGGTGCCTGGACACTCAGAGCCCAGGGAAGACAGAGAACGGGCAAGACGACGGACACGCTCCAGGCCATCCCTACCAAGACGCACATGGCGCTCGTCGAGCTGCAGGACCGCGGCATATTGAAGTATCTCGTCAGTCAAAACTGCGACGGCTTGCACCGGAAGAGTGGAATTTTACCAGTAAGTTTCTGGCTTATCACTGCTGGGGTTCGGAGAGTTGATCAGACAATGGCTTACGCTTGTTATTACCCTTCGCCCAGGAGAAGATTTCCGAGCTTCATGGAAACAGTAACCGCGAATATTGCAAAGACTGCGGGAAAGAATACCTCCGAGGTATCGTACCCCCTTTTCATCACCAAACCCCTATCATCACTGCAGATACTTACGGAGAACAACCAGACTTCCGCGCCGTGGCAACCTACGAAAAATCAATCCGCGACCACCGCACCGGCCGCAAATGCCCCCTCTGCGCCGGCACCCTCCTCGACACAATCATAAACTTTGGCGAATACCTCCCCGCCCAACCCCTCGCCCTCGCCCGCTCCAACGCACGAAAAGCAGACCTCTGCCTCGCCCTCGGATCTTCTCTGACCGTGCCCCCCGCCTGCACGATCCCCGAGACCGTCGGCAAGAAGAAGCGCACAAAGACGTACCCGGACGGCGGGACGCTCGTGATTTGTAACTTGCAGAGTACCCCGCTGGATGACCTGAGCGAGGAGCTCCGCGTATGGGCTACGACGGATGATTTGATGGATCGGGTGATGGAGAAACTCGAAATCCCTATCCCGCGGTTTGTGCTGAGGCGGAGGTTGGTGGTTGAGGTTGAGGCGGTAGGGGAGGAGAGGTATCAGCTTACGGCGAGGGGGGTGGATATCGACGGCACGCCCGCGAGCTTTCTGCAGTCTGTGAGGCTGCAAGGGAACAGGCGCGTTGCGCGGAACGAGCCGTTTACGATTCCTTTCCGGAGCGAGTTGGCTGCTGAGGCGAAGATCATGGCGGAGCTAGAGTTTATGGGACACTATGGCGAGCCTGTCTTGGAGATTGGGATGGAGTATAACGGAGAGGAGAAGCTGGAGAGGATGTATCTGCTGGAATATGATCCTTCGACTGGGGCTTGGAAGGTTAGTACACAAGATGATGGGACTTTTGCTGGGCGGGGTGGCACGGCCGGGACAGACGAGGACATGGAGGATTCGCTGATGATTTCGGCCGAGGACGCGGGTGTGCCTAGCCATATCATCGCCTCGTCTGCGGCCAGTGAGGTCGTCGACCTAACTTCACCTTGAGGTAGCGTGCCTGCTTCTGGAGGACTGAATAACGAACGGTTGATCTGGCATGAGAAGTAGCTCTCTGCTGTCGGGATTACGAAAAGGATCAAGTATGTCATCTATCTCTTGATGAACGAATCCATCAATCGTAATGAGTAGCAAATCAGAAATGACATCCGAGAACAACAAATATATCAACAACATAGCTGCATGAAAGCAACATTACTCAATTTTTGTAAGGTACGACTATAGCTATGAACACGCATTACATATCCCATATCCACAAAGTGTCGTGTGAACGTTAATTTTCATGAATTACACATTAAACAAAAGCTCGCTTGAACGTCCATTAAGCATGCGCATGGCTCGTATCAGAGCAGAGCAGCAACCACGACACCAGCGGCTGCGGCCATGATGCCGGAGCCAAGACGCTCAGCAGCGTTGGTGACCTGGACTGGTCCGGTGGTGGTCTTGCTGGGCGAGGCGACGGGCGTCGTGGCAGCGGGAGGAGGGGTACCAGCAGGAGGAGTTCCGGCAGGAGGTGCAGAAGGTGTGCCAGCCGGAGGGGGAACGGGAGTACCGGCGGGAGGGGTGCCAGCGGGTGGGGAAGGGTGAGTGCTCGCTGGCGGCGCGGGAGGAGTGCCAGCCGGGGGAGTACCAGCAGGAGGCGCCGGGTGGGTGCTGGCGGGAGGAGCAGGAGGGGTTCCGGCAGGAGGGGTGCCAGCGGGCGGCGGAGGAGGCGGGCTGCTGGGCGCGGGGTGCACAGTGGTGAAAGTGTGAGGCACGCTCTCGGTGACAGGGCAGATGGTGGTGGAGACAGGAATAGTCTCGGTGGTGGTGTGAGGACCCTCGGGGCAGTTGGGAGTACCAGGAGGGCACTTGGTGATGGTGTGGACCCTGGTAGTGTAAACCGTGGAAGTCGTCCAGGTTGTTGGTGGAGGAGCTGGGTGGGTGGGAACAGGCTTTGTAGACTCCTCGGTAACGGGGCAGATGGTCGTCGAGACGGCGATTGTCTTGGTTGTGGTAACAGGCGTGTGAGGGCAGTTTGTGACGCTGGGAGGGCATCTCGTCACGGTCTCGACAGTCGTAGTGTAGACGGTGGAAGTCGTCAGCTTGCTGGTGCGAGTCTTGGTGTGAGGAGGCTTCTCGGTTGTTGTGTTGGCGTAGGGGGTGGTCGTGGGAGGAGGAGGGACCCAGGTGGAAGACTTGCTGGGGTGAGAGTGATGGCTCTTGGTCGTGCTCTCTCCCTTGGTGCTGCTAACGGCAGTCTCGGTGGTACAATCCTCAGTTGTAGTAGGAGGGGGAGGAGGAGGGGCATGAGTCGTGGGGGGCTTGCTTGAGTGTGAGTGTTGGCTCTTGGTGCTCACGGTCGTCTCGGTGGTGCAATCCTCCGTGGAAGTGGGAGGGGGGGGAGGGACGTGAGTCGTAGGGGGTTTACTAGAGTGTGAATGATGGCTCTTGGTGCTCACTGTCGTCTCAGTGGTGCAGTCTTCAGTCGTCGTGCTGTGGCCCTTGGTGCTGCTAACAGCAGTCGAGGAGGTAGTGCAGTCCTCACTTGACGTAGAGGTGCTGTGGACCTTGGTCGAGCTGACAACTGTAGACAAAGTAGTGCAGTCCTCCGATGAAGTGGTTGTGCTGTGGACCTTGGTGCTGCTGACGACAGTGGAAGAGGTAGTGCAATCCTCGGACGAGGCGGAGGAGCTGTGCTCCTTGGTCGAGCTTACAGCTGTTGACGATGTAGTGCAGTCCTCAGAGGAGGTGGAGGTGCTGTGAGCCTTGGTGCTGCTGACCCAGGTGGACGATGTGCTCGTCTCAGAAGTGACGGGAGTTGAGGATGAGTGCTCCTTGGAAGACCAAGTAGTCTTGGTTGCCTCAGTGGTACTGACGGTGGTCGGGGGGGCGGGAGTGCTGGTAGTCCACGGGGCCGAGGTGCTGGTGGTGGGAGGAGCCGTGGTGCTTAAGCTGTAGGTGATGCAGGAGCAGGCAGAGGAGACAGCCTTGACATCTCCACCACAGTTGTTGAAGTCGGTGGGAATAGCAGCGGCAGCAGTGGTGGTTCCGTGGAGGAACTCGACACAGAAACCTTTGGCCTCCTCGGCGAAGCGTTCGTCAATGAGGTTGCGGTAGCACCCATCGTGTTCCTGTAATGGGTTAATGGAGAGTTCTCATCAATTGTATAGTTCATCCCATGAAGCAGTGACTGAATAAGACGAAATAGGCAATATGATATGGTGTAGTCAAAGTAGACAGGGGTATGAGGAGACGTACACAATAGGGGTATTCCCAAGCATTGACGGACGCCAGGGCAATGGCGCCCAGTCCCATGTAAAGGCCGCGCATATTGAATCTTGTTCTTTTGGAAGCGAATGACAGTGACTTTGAAAGTCTACTAGTTGATTGGAGCGAGAGGACGATTTACTCGTAGCGACCGTGGGTAAGGAGAGAAAGAGGAGACACGAACCATAGTCTCGGCGCGGCGAAGGGGACTTTATCAGAACGTAGACGAGGGTGTGGATGGTTGCCGGTTGCTGGAGGTTACGTCGGGCCACGGCGGGGAGTGATGCATCCATCATCCATCACCCATCCATCCCACCAGGGCGGGCTGGCTAGCAGAATACGAGCTGGAGCCGCAGCACGGCTCGTGGATGATCTCTTGGTCGCCTTTCACCCATGTTCCCACCCAGCCATCGCACGAGATGAGACACCATGTCGATATGCAAGGTAACAGTAGTGCCCTTGCTGTCAGGCCGGGCTACATCATGGCCATGGCATAGCTGCCAGTAAGCAGAAGGTTGCGCCGGTGGTCTACTAGCGAGCCCAAGGCCACTCACACCACGTAGGGCGAGTTCAAGGTTGACCAGTCACCGGTCAACCGTCGGTGATTCTGTCGAGTTTGGGTACATGGCGTACAGGCGATGGTGGCGTCCGTCAGCTCGTACCGATGGCTAGTGTGATGTTCTATCATGACTTGGACGGACCAGGAATACAGCACTCGTAGAAGACGGGCGGAAGTTGACGGCGAGATATGGTCGCCATGGTGAAGGAAACCACCCGGAGAAAGCCGGGTCTGTCAGAGACGGGAGTGACTCTGGATTGGAAGCAGTGCTCGAGAAGTGTTCCAGTGATGATCTCAGAGGGTGGAGATGGCACCAGGAACACGGTGGATAACTTGCTGGAAGAATCTGGAGGATCTTCAAGCATGAGGAGAAGCGGAGTTCGATGGAGCAAGGTTGTCGAGTTGATAACCCTTGCGTTGCTCCGGTCATTGGACGGTTGTTTCGACGTTTGTCGACGGCGCATCGGCCAGGTCCACAAGAGGCAGTTGAAGGTGGAGTTGATGGGTGAAGTTTCTTTGTAGGCTTGCAAAGTCTGTTTCTTTTCTTCCGCTGGCCGCCTCCAACGGTGCGGTTCGACGGCGTGGATGGCGTACAGTAGACGGGTGGACTCGAGGTTGGAATGACAACTCGCGTGGGAAGAAGACCGGCGGAAAATCCAAAAAGGTCCCATCTTCCTGCCTTCCCAAGTTTCCCCCTGCCTCATGGCTTTCGCTTAGCGTGCTCTAGCCAGGGGTAGCCTAGCCTGTCGGATGACCGAGACGACCGATCAAAGCCAATCAGTGACAACCTTAGCCAAATTGGGACGGACATGTGGGGCATCGCCAGCTCTATCCGGTGGGGCACTCGCTGCCTCGCTGGGCAACTGCCAACTCCAGGAAAGCATCGCGCCTTCCTTGTACAGGAGGGCACAGCTCGGCTAACACGGAAGTCGCCAACTGAGATGTTCTTGCCGTCTACCTTTGGCACCATGTTTCTTTTTCTTCTACACAATTCTTCGAGACTTTGTGCGTCTGCCTACGTCCTGGGAAAGTTAGGTAAGATCGGTACGTGTCTTGAATTTATGCAACCTGGAAGTGCGCTCTTGCATTCGCAGCCAGGTCTCCTTTCGCTTCCCCAAGGCTTCTTATTCTCCCGCCCGCATTCCTCGACGCTTGACTTTCCACTTCGCATGAGCTCGACACAGGTAGCTTACCATGGATACTCAGCATGGTATTCAAGCTTAATGCTAGTCATTCTTATACGATGGGACAACAATCACCAGCTTCCAACCTCTACCCCTCCGTCAGGTGCTGGGCTGGCTCGCCGTTCCTTCCACCGCAAATCCCAATCAGGACACGACAACAGCGGCTCTCAACTTTTCACTTTGGCCTCACGATCGCTCCCTTCTCGCTCAACTGACGAAAAGACCGAATCACGGCCATGGCCTAAGAAAAGAAACCAAGCTTGAGGCGTTTTGGCACCCTGGCCGCGCCTAATGCACAACGCTGCACCCCGTCGCCTTACTCGCCCGCCCTTTTCCGTCTTGTCTTCCTTGCAGCTCGCCGCTTGTTAGCTCGCTGTTCCCCTCACGCCGCCGCATCATGCGTTGCTAGGAGGGTTGCTACAACACCTGTTGTCTTTTGCTCACTCGACGACCTCATTGGAAAAGATCTTTTATCATAGCGAGATGACGATGGACGCCCATGAGGTAATTTCGCGCGGATTTCCACCTCTCCATCCCACCATCTCCTAATACTTACCCGCCTAGAGTATTGCTACTCACACTTGACTTTTCTCCGCAGACTGTCGGCACTTTACAGCATCATCCCACCATCTCTGGCACGTAGGCTGCCTGGCAAGGTCCGTCGTCGGCTGCCTTCGCCCGACCAACCACCTGGCTGAGTCACCTTATTGCGGCACAGCGCTGCGTCGTCACATCGTCGCTTGACCTAAATCTCACGATGGATACGAGAATCCCCTCACTTCCGGCGAGGGCCGCGGGGTTCCCGCCACTCTGCATCGCATCGCTTCGCCCCAGTGCTGACCGACCTTCGTCAACCAAAACAAGCTTTTGACCTTCACACCTGCAGTAAATCGAAGCGTTCTCACGACGATACTCACCGCAAGTCGACCGTGCCTTCGATGAAGTTCCACGGCCGGTCGATTCTCTATGTGGTCCCAGTTGCACGTACGTCGTTAGTTGCCAGACATGCTATCGCGCTAGTCTGGCTGAGATCTGGGGAAGTTGAGCGGCACAACATTCCATCCCATCACCAGTTCCACGACCAAGTCCAAAAACGTCGATCAGCCCCCACCTAACCCTCGCACGTGATTCTTGTTCATGGAACTCCTATCGAAGAGACAATCGGCCGCTGGTCCAGGTAGGTGTGTGGTGGCCGAGTACTGTAGTTTACTTCAGCTGGCAGCTTGGCAATCAAGCCACTCCCTTGCACCCGCAGACAGGCGCAACGTTGCTTCACGTTGAGCCACCACGACGCCGCTTGAATGAACCACGCACAGCCAGGTCTCTCAATGCAAGCATAGGTGAAGTCTTGGAACAGGGTCCTTGGTCGACATGCAACTCTTTTCGATTGCATAGGTTTGGATCACCGACTGAGACTTCTTCATGGACGCGCCCAGCTTCCCCTCCTTCTAAGTTGGCTTCTGCGATCCCTCGGACCCGCCGGCAAACACGAAGTACGGCTAGGAAACGCTCCCTTCGCATCCATGTTGCAGCCTATCCTTCGGGTGCCTCGGCTTCTTCAACTCTACCCTCTAACTTGCTTGTTTTCGAATCAGACCATTGTGCTGGACTCGTCCCGTGATGTCAAGTCCCCCCCCCCCCTCTTGTTCCACCGGTCACGGTCCACTACGCTAAATCGCCTCGGCCCCGCGGGATTTCCTCCGTGAGTGCTAGGCGGGCCAAGACCAAGAGGCTCCGAAGCCTTCGATTATTTAGCTTCTGTTGATTGGCCACTCACAACACGACATTCCAGTGATACAAAACGCGCTGCCATTGATAGTGTCTCCCAAACGTTTGGCTCTACTTCGCTAGCTGAACGTCGATGTATGCATCTCGATCTGTTGATTGGACCTCGTCTAAGCCAACTAAGGCGTTATTCGCCTTTTTTTTCTTTTTCTTTTTTTTTTCTTAGTTAGCGACATCAACGAACTCGTATCCACAGCCTTCAGCTATGATCTAGCAGAGTTAACCAGAGGTGGGTGCTACTGAGAGGGAGAGACCCAACAGGTGGTGCAGGAAAGCTAGGACTAGACTCAACGCTACAGTCCCCATTCGCGATCGTTGTCGGAGCAAGAGTTGGTTTTACTCCAGAAGCGTCAAAACTGGAAAAATGGCAGCCACATTTTGACATTCAAAAAGGAGTCAGTTATCGGTAGGTGATAAGACATCCACTGGTCTTGGTGTTGCGAATGACGAAGTGAAATGAATATGTGTTGAATACAAGAAGTCTTCAAGGAACCTACGTTATTATAAACCCGCATATACATATAACGCGTCGTATAGAGATTGAACGCCCTTAGCTTACCTAGCTTGTTATTAAACAAGTAAAAGTGCGAAAGCTTCGTTTTTTCTAGTCTATTCTTAAGGAAGGCTTGCGTATTTATTTACCGGTTATAGGCTGAATGTCGAAAGAAGTCCCCAGAGGCGGCGATGCTTTTCAAGGCGTATACCTGCTGGAGGGAACTCGCGTTAAATACGCGGCGCAGGGGACTTTTTGCTAGGCCGAAGTCTGAAAATAGGATAAGGATATAGACGAGTTTTAACTGGGCCGATGGCTTGAGGTAGGTATGGAGAGATTGAAGTTGATGGGAGAAACGCTCGAAATTATGGTTGAGCATGGGAAGTGGAAATGTCTGGGGAGGAACGTGGCGATGATGGAACTGCAGAAGGTCTTCATCGAGGTATGTTCCCGTCACAATCTGGCGCGTGTGGCAGACAATGTGCTGACGCTCAAGGTAGTTGCTGCGAATGTATGATCTGGTCCTGTGTGAACCGACGAAGCCGTGGAAGTCATTGAATTACGGGATGTTCCTGCAGTCTCAGTTCTTGATCAAGGCATATGCCATAAGAGAACACGTATAATGCGGAGACCGTGGGGAGAGTGTCGCACCCTTGGCTATCGTTGGTCTCTACAGACGAACATAGATAGCGGCAGGGAATGTTTGCACTGCGGCTCGTTTCCAATCTAGCAATGAAATGATGTCTGCGTCAATGCCTGTCTCATTTTTTCGACTTTAAATGGGCACCAGCTAGGCCAAACAGGACTGGGGATATGAGAATCGAGAACAGTGCTGTGTGACACTTTAGCATTGTCCATGCACGGTTAGCCAGGCTTGAACAGATCGTAGGAGTGGTCCTGACATTCCTTACCAAATGGCCTGGTATGTCCAGCGACGGAATAACTGCGCCGGCTGAGCTTCATCAATTGAGGGTCAGATAGTCGGAGGAGACGTGGCGTGCATGTCCAATCGCGTCCTTCTCAAGAAGCAATTAGTTAGTGAGCGGCGCATTGAGAATGGGCGCGAGAACGTCTGCAGGTGCCAAAGAAGACAAAATGGTGGTTGAGTAGGAGAAGGAGCGGTCAAATACCACAAGCATGGAAGAAGAACAGAAGCTCGAGGAGGCAAACAGCCGTTCCGTGCATCGAGCCCGGCAAAGCACGACACCGGCGGGAGGCTGCAGAAAGACTCCCAGACCATCCTGTCCGCTTTTGACCCTTGGCCAAACGAAGATGCAGACGAAAAGAAGGAGTCGGGATTCCATCCAGCCTCAGAAATAGCTGTCTTCCAATGCCCTGATCATTTGATTGTTCATGTAAAGCCAGTTTCCCAGCTGCGTTCCCTGTTGGTCGACCTCCATGCCAAGATCTCCGGGCATCGTGAACGACCCCCCGGACATCCAGCTACTTCCTATATTTTGTCCATCGAATGCGGCGTCCAAGCAAACCTGAGACTCTTCCGTGGAAAGAAACTCCGTTTGAGGTCCATCTTGCGTGCCCAATCCCTGACCTGTCAGTGCTGCATTTTGGTGGACGGAAGACGGCGTCATCAGTGATGTTGCAGCAGCAGTCGCCCAGACGTCGGCACTAGAGTCAAGTGTCTGAGGCGACTCGTTTGTCTTCATCTTGATATAGCTGCAGGCAACGTCGTACAAAACCTGAAAGAGGCGAATCTCCTTTTTGACACCTGTGGAGAAGTCGTCGGCTAGTAACGACTGAAGAGAGCCAATGAGCCCGCCTAGACGTTGGAGATCTGCTTCGTTGCACGTCTCGATTACATGGCAGAAGAGAACTGTGAACGGCACGAATGGAGATTGCAAGAGAGCCCTAGTTGCAAACAGTGTCAGCCTCGTTCGCCAGGGAGTTGTGTTGGGGTGATCAGAGAGTACCAATTCACGTAAGTCTCAAGAAAGTCTTCGTCTAGTTCATGTATTATCGCCATGCACTTTTGGTGTTCTTCGAGGGCTTGGCGGGCGGTCGCAATGCACTCCTTTCCGAAGACGGTGCCCTCACCTTGCTCTGCTGGGATGGCGCGGTATATAAGACAGAAGAGCGATAAGTGAGTCAATCTTTGAGTGCTAACGAAAGCTTCGTAAAACAACTCCCCGACGGCACCTTTCATTGCTTGAATATACCGTTTCTGTAGCGTTGTAAGATCTACCCGTACCTTGAAGAGTCGGGAAGCTGGAGCATCAGATGCGAAATCACTTACATCTTCTGGAGAAACCTTGGTCGTATGCGCCCCTAACTCAGAAGCCAGACGTCTTGCTTTGGCCACCCTGACTGACTGAGGTTGAATTAAGGCAGCGGGGCTGTAGATCTGATCATATACCATGCCCTGTAGTCGGGCTAGCTCCGTCCACTTCTGTAATTGGCCAAAGATAGCCTGCTCGGACCTTGAATTAATGGCCATGGGCGGGACGGTGATGTCATTGTCGCGTATGGTCGAGGATCGACCAAGCCGGAGAGAGAGCGCCTTCTCATGGACATATATCAACCAGAACAACTTGAGTTTCTCCCTCTTAACTTCAGGATCGTCATTGATCATAGTGACGATACTATGCATGCCGAGGGTCTGGCTCATGTGGCTGGCTGTGGCTATGAAATTCCATGCCGCAGAGGGTTTGCAGACATCGAGGCAGTACGTTGCCTGTAGGGCGTATTAGCGGTGACAGGTGATGAGTTGTGTAGTGCATGCACGTACAGCCAATGTCATCGCATAGGTAGTGTCCATGGTCGAGGGTAGATGGAATGGCAGACTCGAAAGGACAGTCTCGAGATTGGCTCGACACATGGTGGCTTGCTCAGTGTAGTCTGCTTTCTCGTCTGGGTCTGTTGTGACATTCTTGCACTCCAGGAAGAGCCAATAAAGGCCTGCGTTGACAATTATAAGATCTGCATGGGCTGCATATCCAGGAGAATACACCTTGAGAAAGTAATCTGTGAAGGCAGACACTGACTTCGCTTCATGGTTCCAGAAAAACTTTACACGACGATGCTCTGCATGAGTATTAGTGTACTGTAGCTACCGTGATTATGGATATGTGTACCTTTGGCCAGTCTAAGACAAGCGAATGCGGATTGCACAGGGGGCATAGGAAGATCGCGGAGACCCTGGCCCGGCTCGAGGGTTCTGGCATGGGGATAGAGGTATTCGGGCTCTTGCTCCCTCTTTTGGTTTCCGATGGTGCGACTCATAGTGTCCAGGACCGAAGCCATCTCACCAGTGATATCAACCGACGGCTTGTTGCTGACGGCATCTCGGAGAAACCTGTCCGCGAAGGCAGCCTGGGCTGACAGTGATGATTCCCCCTCGTATTCAAGTTTTGGTGTCAAGATTTTGCCATTGTCGCCGCTAGCTGGTGAAGGTACAGTCAGATTTCCTGCCGTGCTGTTGTGAGCAGATGCAGGGCTCACAGATGACGATGAGCGATAGGGTTTGGTGGATGAGTTTTGTGGCTGAGACCGGCTGTCTGCATCTCCCAGAGCATGGCCGAGTTCTTCGAGCTTCTTTGCTATGAAGTCAATCTTTCTTTCACTGTTTCCTTGGTTAATCAGACATCATCTTGAAAGGTCGCTCATCACATACTAGACTTCCGAAATGAAGACTCTTTGTCGTCGTTCCTTGGGCCTTTGCCTCTCGGGATACGTACACGGTGCGTCTATGCGAAGACAATAGGCACACGGATGTCGGCGATCGCATCGCACTTTGCGACGGCGACATCGATCACACTTGATCAGGAAAGTCAGCACACCACGAGCATGACCTTGGAAGGCGTGAGGAGATTTTACGGATATTTTAGACAGTGGAATCTCATCATCTTCATTTTCTTCGTTGTCATCATGGGCCTGATCCATGGCTTCGTGCAAGGTGCTCGCGGTCCCGGGGTCTGCGTCCATCTTGTCATCCAGCGCAAATGCAGACGATTCCAGCGAATTGGGTCGATGTCAGTGCGGGTGCAGCACGAAGGCGCCGTTGAGATGAACGCGAACAGGTATGATGGTAGGAGGCGAAGCTGTTGTTGGTCAGGGAGGCGCAGCAAAGGTGCGGAGCGGAGCTCGCTTCCAGCAGCTTGCGATTGGTCAAGCGATGCGATTCGTAATTTGCGACGAATTGAGTTATGCAATACGCAAAGCGAGAGCAAGAACGGGAGGAATAAGGTACGCCTTTCTGCACCAGTGAATCTCTTGCCAGAGGCAGAGAGATAGGCGGACGGTTGGACGGGGCGTACGAGTTGCCCGCGAGACCGGGATCTCGGGGTTTCTGGGTCTTTAGGCCCCGATATTTATCTCGAAATGACACC